AGGGTTGCGCTCCCGTTGCCGGTCCCGGTCCGGTACAGGCGCGACACTGAGGGCTGCGATCCGTTGGCGGGCACAAAAAAAGACAAAAAGAAAAAAAAAAAAAGTATTAATGGATTAAATATTTTGAACACTTTAATAGCTGTTGATGTATTTTGTGTATTTTGTTTCCAAAAGTTTCTTTCCCAAGAGTTTATACCAGTTTACAACATCATTGGCAATATGTTGAGTGATGTCATAAGCAATATATTGAGTATGAAAGTTCCTATATAGCCTTGCTAGCATTTTCTTTTTGCTCATAAGATTAATACATGCTCACAGATTTAGAAAATACATGTAAAGTATAAAGATCAATGATAATCCACCACCCTTTTTTAATTCATATATATTTCATGTGATTGAAATTACATTCCTATTTTTATGTGTATCTTTCATTTTAAATTTAGAATTATATCATGAATATTTTCCTGTATCGTTATAAGCTTGTGATTTTAAACAACTATATTACATTACATTGATTCATTCACTATTTAACTTGTTCCTTATTATTAGACATCCCCAATTTTTTACTACTCAAAATAACACTGAAATGATCATTTTTTAATATAGTTGCATCTGCATTTTAAATTATTCCGTATGCTTGATCACTCATAATAGAATTGATAGATGAAAAAAAATTTTTTAAATCATTTTCCCCTAAAGGATTGCACCAGAATTGAATGTATGTTGTGTGTTTGTGTGTGTGCATGCATGTGTATGTGTGCATGTCTCATTTAAAAGACCCTCGTTTTTCTACATAAGAGTTGGGAAATATGGAAGAAGAGTTTCCCAAGACAAGTCCTTATGAATGGTTTTTGTTTTTGTATCACGTATGTGTGCATGTCTCATTTAAAAGACCCTCGTTTTTCTACATAAGAGTTGGGAAATATGGGAGAAGAGTTTCCCAAGACAAGTCCTTATGAATGGTTTTTGTTTTTGTATCACCCCCCTCTCAGGTCTTCCCCTTCCCTTTTCTAATTTTCCATTGCTGACCCCAGGATGACAGGGCTGTCCCCTCCTGCCGAGAACTGGAATCACACCTTGCTCCCTGGGCTGCTCTAAGTGGAACCCCTCCCCGACAATGTCCACTGAAGTAAGAGCCTCCCAGCCAGGCTCCAACAGGCAAGGTGCCTATACTTATCACCACAAGGCAGTCACATCAGTCACTTTGGCTTGGCCCAGGCTCACATAGGCACCTGACAGGGCCCTGCGTGTGCGAGGTCCTGGGAATTCAAAGACGCCTAATGGGTGGGCTCTGCCTTCACATGCTCTCTCTCCAGCAGAGGAGACAGATGTGAACTCACTGCCCCTTTCGCCCTCATTATTTCTCTCATAAGCTATTTGCTTTTCCTTCAGATCTCAGAAGGGTACCTCCTCGTCCACACCCTGAGATCAGGGCAAAACTGAACCTCTCTTAGCCATTTGCCATGCAAAATGCTCAGTCAGGGGTCCGTGTATCCCTAGCCAATCTTTCATCATTAGGCTCAAGGGGTAGAACCAGCTGCATTTGACCAGCCACTTGGAGGTGCCCAGGCCACTTGAGCCATGGGTTTTCACCCACATTCCTCTCCCACAGAGTTCTTGTCAACCCCTGTGATATACCTGCCAGTTAGCTTTCCTGTCGTCTTTCAGAATCACCACTCTGGACAGGAAGCAAAAGAAGCATCAGATTTTAACAGTCAGATGAAAAGGGAAAGAACTTATATAAAAATACATAATAAAGTTTAAAAACATACATCACAAATGTCAGATACTATCTTCCTCAAATCTTTCAGAACAACCTTTTTTTTGCAGTTGGCCAGTACGGGGATTTGAATTCTTGACCTTGGTTGGAAAAGATGTTAACAATCATCTTTTATTTTATTTACCTAACTTTTTTATTTATTTATCTTTTTATTTATGTTGACAATCATCTTTTATTTTCTGGGCTGGCCGGTTAGCTCAGTTGGTAATCAACTGAACTAACTGGCCAGCCCAGAAAGACCATTTTTTTAATCCAAAGATTGTCAACATCTTTTCCAAAGTAAACTTGAGGTTTCTATATTGACTCAGGGCCCCCACCATTATCATTTAATTTCACTTGCTTTTAAATTGTTAATTACATCATTGCAATTTTCTGTCTCCATTTTAAAAAATTATTTTTTCTCATCTCCACCACTCATTTCTATACCTTTCGCCATTTGACTTCTCCTCCCTGTTCAAACCCTGCAATTCACCTCTTTAGGGCTGAGAGCAACATTTTAGTCTCAACGAGGAAAGAAACAAAAGATAATTTCAAGTCAAATGCAGAAATCACCTGCAAGCAGTCATGTCTTTGTTCAACTGCAGAGCAAATTCTCTTTCTCGCTAATTTGGTGAGGAAATAGATAAAGGTTTTCAAAGTTCATCTGATTGACTTATTTGATTTCCTGGGCCAACCGTGCCCGAGTCACAGTGAGCCCAGCAAGACACCCCTTTCAGACTGCAGATTCTAAGGAGCTGATGGTAGGTCGTGCGACTTCTTTAACATGTCTGACTGTACCCCCCTCCCCCAGGCTCCCACTGCCCTGGCTCCTGTACACCGTCATTCACAGATTCCAGCCAGTGGCGGTCAGCAGCAATGGCCTCTTCTGTGCCATCGTCCTCCTCTTCATCATGCTGCTCTTCGTCATCCTCTCCATCGCCCTCTGCAAGTGGCGGATGAACAAAGTGCTGGGCTTCATCATGTTCGGCCTCTACTTCGTGTTCCTGGTGGTCAGCGTCCTCCTAGAAGACAGAATTCTTGTGTGCCCGGTCTCCATCTAGCAGGAAAAGCCATATCTTGAACCAACAGCATGGACAGCCCCTCCCTGCTCTGGGCTCTAAGCTCCTTGATTTCTGGAGAAGAGGCAGGCGGCACACAGCCCTGGGTGCTGAGTGTCCCTCCTTGGTGGATTTGAGGAGGGACAGACTCACGCTGGGCCCGTTCACTTCACAGACTGCAGCCACCCTTGCCTACTGAGATGACTTCATGTGAGAGACAGAGACCCGTCCACCGGGGGCTTCTCTTCTCTCACCACTGACAGGTACTCCTTGCTGGTTGGAGGTACATTCGCTGTAATGATGCAAACCAGGACCGAGGCTATATTATAAATATACACACACAAACACACAAATTCTGCCTGTTCCTGTACTATACCTCTCCTTCCATACCTATAGGTGAATACATACCTGTATACTAACACAAGAAAAGAACAATTACATATATATATATATAAAATCATATATATATAAAAGTACAAAAGCATCTTTTCAGGGATAGCTCTAGTTATTTATAGTACGTATCTGAAGAGGGGCATCAGCCCCCAGCCTGGGGTTTACCTCTTAAGTGCAAGAGGTGACTAGTGGAATTAGCAAAGGTAGCACTACTATGACCTGCAGTCTGCCAGGGATCTACTGGGATCCTGCCTGGTAAGGTAGACAGTTTAGAGAAATAGTTCACAAGGAGGGCTTGGTGGAGAGGGTCTGTCGGGGCCCTGAGTTGAGCTCTCCAAAACATTCCCACAAGCCAAACAGGGATGACTATCTGCCCACCCCCACTGGGGTGCACTGACTGAAACCCCACAGGGTTACTTAGGACAGACAGAGGTAAAACCCAGACTGGGTGGATATTGGTTTGGGGGAAAGGGGGAGGTGACCAGGGTTGGATTTGTTTTGTTTTGTTTTTCCTTATATTGTCCCAGCATGCAAATAGAAAATATGACTATAAACCAAATTAGTGCTTTTCTAGGACAGCAAGACTATATAAACTGAACCTATATTGTTCCAATGCATGTCCCATTATCATCAAATGAAGAGGGTGAGTTTAGCTGTGATTGTCACTTAGACATATTTTGATGCTAAGGGCTCACAAGCAGTCAAAACACCTGCCAAGAGAGCCTAGATGTCTGAAAAAAATCACCATCCAGCAGAGGTGCTTGCAGGGACTTGCCACCTAATGGGAACATAAGAGCACAGTTCTTTATAGCATTTTCCAGTGTGGCCGTAGGGCTTCAGGGTCTGAAGAAATCATTATTCCCAATAAAGTAAATTAACTCAGATCAATACTGCTTGGATTGAGGCAGCTTAGAGATGTTTGGAAAGGCAGTTGCACACTCCACATGCCCCGGGAAGGGTTCTGAGTCCTGCATCAATTCGTGCCAGGACCAGGATTTGGTTAAAGCGTATGCATCATCCATATCTCTTCTTTCATCAGGACCCCACCTGGGACTCTTTCTGGTTTTTAAAGTGCGCTAAAGGCTATACTTGAGAGCTTCTTTACACTGGTTTCAAGCGAGTCACTCCAATGTTTTGATTTCCTGATTTTGCTCACCATCACATGGGATATATTCATCTCATTCATTCAATGCCCCCAGATTCTGTTTGACACCTATGTGATTTCTCAGTCTATGCCGGTAGAAAATGAGACCAGCAGGGGGAATTTAAAAATAGGCAAATTAAATTGATGAAAAAATATGTAGAGCTTTTCATTTCCCAAAGTCATGCTTTCCTTCAACCCAGCTGAACAAGTGGATAGCTGGCAAGTGGCTGGGTGGCACACACCACAAATGGGGAACTTCACCAGGTGTGTTCCTGTCTCCAGTCTATTTTGTCACAGAGCATGGTAGTAACAGGCAGTGGCCCTCGTTGCTCTGCACCTACAAGCAAAATGCACCTCCCCGCGGAGGCCTCCTGGCAAAACAAGAAATCAGGATGCTGCCACCTAGGAGTCTCTCCTGCTTTGCAAAGTCGGGTTTTCAGATGTGTGAAGGAAACCTACATCTCCTTCATCAGGGGGTGGCGGGACTTTGTATCAAGGCAAGAATCTGTGCTGATTCCTTAAGTGTAAGACAATGAGGAAGTGAACTTTTAGTTGAAAAAACTCTGGTTGTTTTCCCTGTGTATTACATGAGGGGGAGCAAAGTTGGTTATTGTGAATGCTGTGTTATTGACTGGTTTGTTGTTTGAAAGAAAGTTTAAATAGGTGGCTTAGACTATATAAAACAAGAAAGGCTGAGGGAGGTCCGTGCCGCCCCGTTCTCATTCCAGCACTGCCCGGTCCTCCCTGCCCCCGCACTCCTCCCCGTTCATTCCCAGCTCGCAGTGAAAACCCATCCAAGCAGCCATGGAGCACCTTCCTTGCCTGGGAGCTCCGCTTCACAGGAGGCATGTGGTCTTTAGTGAAGAGTGGCATTTGGGAAGACAGCATTTGCAAGCCCAGTTCCCATCTCAATGATGTGCACTGAGCGTGACCGACAGCAGCACTGTGTCCTCATTGATGGTGTACAAGCACCTTCCACCACTTGCCCTTGCTGTCCCTTCATTTATGAATCTGTGGGTAGATGGTCGTGTGTTGGGCCAGGGTAAATTCAGAGAGAAGCATCTAGAATGCAAGAGTGGGTCTTTAAAAGAATTCAAATCATGCACATAATTAGAATAAAGAACTTTCTGCTTCATGGTTTCCAGAGTAGGACATCTCTAACCCGTTTCTTGCATGCCTGTGTATGAGGGGACTTCAAAAAGTTCATGGAAAATTGAATTAAAAGATAATATGAATCTTTCCATGTACTTTTTGAACACCCTTCATATATACATATAGTATAAATATATATATATATATACATTCAGATCAGATCTATATGTGACATACAGTATCATATCGTCACTGTCTGACCCATTCACATTCAGGATTTAAAAGCATCAAGTTTGCCAAAGTCAAAGGAAAGTCATGCACACCAAACAAAGGGAACATTTCTTCCTGATCTCATAAGATTGTTTTGTTCTGTACACATATACATACAAACATATACACATGCACCCGTATTTTCCCACCCTGAGAATATAGATTGACAGCCTTAAGGAAGTGGCCAGCCTTATCCCTAACGGAGGCAAATACACAACAGAAAGTACACGGAAAAAAATTAGACGGCAGATACTCTCTTTGCTTCCCTGGAGCAGGGTATAAAACATAGTTGTCCTTCAGTATCCACCAGGGATTGGTTCCAGGATGCCCACATATACCAAAACCTGTGGATACTCGAGTCTCGCAGTTGGCTGCTGAACCCACAGATATGAAGTCAGTCCTTCATATATGCAAGTTCCACATCCCTCAAATACTGTATTTTCAATCCATGGCTGATTGAAAAAAAAATCCAGTATAAGTGGATCCATGTAGTTCAAACCCATGTCGTTAAGTGTCAACCGTAATATCAAAATTTCAAGGGCCAGCATTTTACTGCTTAATCTAACACAACTTGCTATCAGATGGCTTCATTTACCCACAGCAAACCAAGCAGGTCTTGCTTGCTTTCACCTCCCCTGTAGTCCTAGGCAGCCCTAGGACAGGAGAGCAACTTGGCTCAAACCAAGAATCCCCAAATAGAAACTTCTAAATTGCATCTGAGAATTCCCACGCATGTTCAGCTGCCTTCTGAACCTGACCAGTTCCTGATGAACTGAAGCTGGAGATTAGATAGTGTTTATGCAGCTTCCCAGGACCTAAACTGAGTCAGGCAGTGACAGATTGGGAAAGCAGAGTACATGTGCAGAGACTAAAGGCTAGGGTTGTTTATCCCCTTGGCAGATGCAGCAGAATATCCTAAAGTCTTGCCCAGGAGATTATAAAAAGAGGCAGGGACTGTTTCATATTTAGGGAAAATGCTTTGTAGGACTTCTAACAGGTGTCACCTGACAGGCGCCATTATAATTTATTTTACAGGGAAGACATGAATCAGGTGGTTTGGAGCCCTTTCAGCAAAACACAGCTGCCTCGCTGATTAGACATTTGATAATGTTAATGTACGTCCATTTCTGGGCAGAGAGAGAGTTGGCAAACTCCCTACCATTGCTCACAGCTTTCAAATGCCCCTGTAACAGTGAGATAGGAGATGAGCTATAAAAGGAAGCCCCTCAACTCCCGGACCACCTTAACAGAAAGTTGACCAAGGAAATGACAACTGGTAGAGCTGCTAGCCAGATAGAGTTAAAAAGATGGGACTCGTGTTAAATGCTCTCCTGGAATTACTGCATTGGAATATTGGACATGGGTCAGATGGCCTGACTGAATGAGCATTTCAGGAAAATGTCAGCATGCTTTCTTCCCCACATCTACCACACACACACACACACACACACACACACACACACACACGAGATTGTGTGAAGGCTGTGCTTCTTTGCATCTAGACAGATTGTTACTCCAGTAAGTGGTCATGTTATAGGTGGCAGCTCTGTTCCAGAAGAAGTAGAGGGAAGCTGTTCTCAGGGTGGTTTCTGGATAAATCAACTGTCTGCTAAAAGTGTGCTATGGAAGCTAATGCTCATTCTTGCTAACCATCCAGCTTAACAGTTTTAAAATATACATCCTCATCTCCTATACCTCCCTCAACAATACTGTCTTCGATTAGTAGGTAAGGCCTTGTCATTAAGAGACAGTTAGTGAAAAAATAGAATAAGGAAAGAGACAAAAGGAGAAATTATTTTACTTTTACTAGGATTCCCAAGAAAGCAAATGTCAAATTGAAATATATCCCTAAGTAGTTTAAAATGGTTACAAATATCAAGCTTACTTTAACCAATTACAAGAGCCCAAATATAGTCCTAGATTTTTTTTTTTTAGATCCCTTAAGGCCTTGGAAAAGAAAGTTAACCGAGCCCCTCCTCCACTGCCTATTTAGGTTTAACTCCCTGCCTCTGTGCCTTTGTTTCTTTTTTAATATGGAAGCTTCATACTCTCCAAAATACCTAGCAAATGAGAAAAGCAATAAAGGAAATACAACCAGCTCAACTCCATTACTTATCATTACACCACTGAATATCTGTTTCCCGTCACTGGGAGCTATGGCAGTGCACACACAGGTAATCACCAGGAGAATGTAGACTCTGGAACTCAGATGCACTCTTGTTTGCTGTGGAAGGCACGCATCGTCCACGTGCCCCTCACCGTGCACACTGCCATTTCACACACCTTCCTCACATGGGACATCAGCCTTGCTCAGAACCACCTGAACCCCACAGAGGTCTTTCATCTGGCTGGTGACAGTCTTCTTAAGAAAGAGTGGGAGAGCCACAGAGGACAAACAAACCAACAAGTCAGCCAGTTTTTGAGAGACAAAAAATGACCCTGCAATTATGACAGGATAGACAACTATGTTCAAATTAGTGACAAACAGTGTGGGACTGTATGGAACACCATATTATCTAAGCCAAAGGACTTTTACTAAATGACTGATTGACAGACTGAAAACCCTAAAAGAATTCGTAAAAAACAGATAAATACCTAAGTCTGAAAGAGTGCCATGACATTTGCATGGGCTCCCACCAAAGATTTAATTCTGCTAAGAGAGTTTGTCCAGCTGATCACCCCACTCCAAAGGACCACCCTCTTACAGGAAAGGGATCTCAGCAGAGATGTTTATGGTTTAACCCAATTCAATGTTTAACAACGATCAGTGTCAGAAAAGTCTCCCTTCAGGTTAACCCAAGCCCCTCCAAGTTGATGATTTTGCCTTTTTTTTTTTTTTTTTTTTTTTTCCTTTTTTTCCAGAAAAAAGCTGCTCCTCGGCCCTTTTATTTTTTTCCCCCAAATTTCTTGGGAG